TATATAAAAGCCTTGATCCATCAAAGCCATGATGGGTGGTAGAGGTCAATATTTCATGGCCCATCTGGTGCCGACCATGGTATATGAAAGATGGCAACTTGGAATATAAAAGATACCTACTTGGCAGGAGAAAGACCTCAACTGCAGAACATAAAAGGAGTAAATGGTAAAGAAATCTCAACTGATATGACAAAATCTAGAAAAGCACAAATCTTTGTTATGAGACTTGTAAAGCTTCTCTCATTGTGTCACATTTTAAAGAACTAAATCTTTAGTGAAGATTTGCACTTAATTTTATTTTTAAATATTATTCTAACAAAAACAGATACTTGTAAAGATTTTGAGTCAAATACTAGATTGGGCAGGATTTTCATATGTATTAAGAGAGGGAAAATGATAAAGATGTATCATTATGTTGCATTAAACTTGCAAGAAAATAGACTTGATGAATAGTTCTTAAATTTATAAGAATGACCACTCTTCTTTTTTAATGGAACATTTTAGTAGTTCTTTTTAATATACATCCATTCAGCCTCACGATAATCTGAGAAAAGGGCATTATGTTTGCTGCAAGACACATAGAAAACTGTCAGTGATCACCTCTCATGGCTGGATTGGCACAGCAACACATTATCTAGAAAAGCTTTGCAGAATGCCTTTATATTCATTATTATAATCTTTAAGAATTATTTGCTATTGTTTCTAAAATTCCCAACTACTAAATCTTTGTAAGTTTAAAAAGAAAGCGAAGTAAACTTGGGAGAGTTTAAACACTGGCAAACTACAAAACACTACAAGATAATCCTGTACATCGCTCTTCAGGAATATATCTGACTCACTTCTGTGAAGCTTTCTTCTGATCAAGTACATATAGAATTGCAGCTAAAAAGGGTTTAAATAGCCTGCAACCTCATTAACAAATCAATGAAGTCCAATGTTATTTAGGCTTATATGCCCAGCTATCCAGACACCCAGACTTTTCCAAATAAATTACAGGAAGCAATAAGTAATTGTTAACCACAGCACACGTTAGGATGGAGGTTGAAACAAACCTCAACATTATCATGAATATTTCTGTCCTCTCAAATATACTTTTCTAATATGATGAGGTAATGTAGTTTCTAGGAATAGGTGGAACAATGTCACTCTGTTCCATATCAGTGCCACATGTACTCATATATTATTCTGTTATCTGAACTGTTTTTTTTTTCTTCAAGAAAACCAATTTTCAAAAAACCACCAAACATTCTATGGCTGTTGTATATATTTTAGACATATGGTTCCCCAATATAGGAAAGTGTGCACCTATATATTGTTCTATGCAACTAGCTTTAATACATAATACATAAAGTTGAACTCTAATGGATTCTTTCTGTGGCTGATTTTTTGTGTTGTAGCAGAGATCCACTTAGACAGATGAGACTACTTCCCTACAAAATATCTCAGTGGATTCCTTATAAACCTTCAGGAGTGTCACAATGTTAAATTTCCCAAGACACTTCAGGAACTCTCCTTTCAATACTCAGGTGTCTCAGAGCATACCTTCATAGGTTCCTACTTCAAGAAGAGTTCCGCTTTTTTCAAGTTCCAGAAACTCTTGCACGCTCAGAAAGTTATAGTCCACACCAGGCACTTCTCCTTCTCTTGGAGGACGTGTTGTGCCTAGGTAAAGAAAAATGTACAGAACAAGATGAGTATTGATGTTACAACAGTACCATTAGAAAGAAACAAATACTACATTATCATAATGGTAAGGGAAATAGTAGAGGCAAGGCCAGGTGGTATTTTCTGTGGAAAAAGGCAATGGGGAGAAGCCAACAGAGAGTATAAAGCAGCACTGTTGTGCCCAGAGTGTGGGCAACTATCACTATTTCATTCGCTCTCCTCCTCGCCACAGAAGACAGACAGAAGAAAGGAGAGGAACATTTTAAAGACTAATACATTATTATGGCATACTTCTCAGCAGATACAGAACAAGTTACACCAAAGTACACTTGTTGGTCTCTAAGATGCTTCCTTCTGCAATATAGTTTTCCCTCTAGAAATCATTTCACACCAAGTTCTTCCTATCTGAATGGTCACTGATGAACAGAACTACTGCTTGTCTTACTGGAATCACCATGTAACATGAGCTTATTTCCATAATCTGTGATCACAACCCTTAACTATGACATCCTCCAGTGGACATTGTTTTGTGCATCTTCTGTTTGGCCAAAGTCTAATTCTTTCTTCTATCTATCCAAGGGCCAAGTATGTGCTTAATAGAAATATTTCTCAGTTTACATGTACTTTTTCATCAATCTCAACCCCCCAGTCTACTTATACAGGGAAATATGAATTAATTTCACAAAGCTTTCCTGTACAGGATAATATTTGCATAAAATAACACAGCGTGGGGTGGGGAGAACCCTTTCTCATAATCTTGGTACAGTCAAATAAAACTTTGAACATTAAGCATCTTGAGTGATGCATATTTAACTTTCTCAGTTTAAAGGTAATTAACTGTAGTTTATTTTGAGTGTCTCTTCAAAATGTAGTTCATGTATCCCTGGAGACTCACTGAGGGGGAAACAAATCTGGGTATCTCATTTATATTAAGGAAAATATATCCTCTATGATTGACACACAGCTGTAATGCTTGAACTCTATAAGAATGTGACTTTAGGAATATTACTTTAGTTGCAAGTGCTCACAGCAAAAACAAACACATCTGACCGAGTCAAAAGGGCTGATACAAATCAGCTCACTGCTCCTCCAAAACACTCAGCTCTATTTGAGTTATAGGTTCATTGATTGACCCTCTTTCCGATTTTACTTGTGCTCCAGGCATGTTTTTTGCCAAGAAAACACTCAAGAAACTGGCAACTTAATATAAGGTTATAGTGTAACTTTAAGATACAGTATCAGTGAGTGACACTGTATCACTTCTCATTCCACGGAATTAACCAAGCTACAAACATTCATATTCTGCGTGATTCTATAGAGCAATGATTACTCCTGGCTTTGTTGCTTCAAAGCAAATGTTCCCAACTGCAATTCAGAAACAACTAAAGGAAACAAGGGTCAAGGGAATCCCCGCCTCCTCTTTTCTTGTAGCAAAATGACAGGCTGTTGGCTGGACACACGCCTGACAGATGGCATTTGGAAAGGATTTTATGAACCATCTGGGGTGTTTACAATGAGTCTAAACCACAGTTTCCACCAACCCAGGAACATTTTCCTCCTCAATGCGATTTAAGCAGAGAAATGCAAAACCAGGAAAATCAAATGTAGTACATTTTTCTAGGACTGTTGCATTAACAGTAAGTGCCAAATTCTTTGTTGAATTCCTAAGCTGGCAAAAGCTGAACATGCAGTTAATGTGTTGCTATCATGTCAGTAACAACCTCTGGAAAGCAATTGATTTTATGGAACCACATTCAGAAAATGTTCATGAAACAGAGATTCACACATAAATTTTATTTTCAGCATGCACAAAATAACACCCAATACAAAAGGGATGGAATTGTAAGAGGAGAGCTGTGTTAGTTTATGGTAGCCAAAAATCAGGCAAAATCTGGAAGCATCTTTGCAGATTAACCAATTTTATTAAAAGGCATATGTCTTTGTGAACTACAGCTCACTTCCTCAGATGTTAGCATCAGAAATCACAATAATACATAAAGAACTTTAAAATAGTAGATATTTAAGAGGAAAAAAATGAAACAGCTGAGACACATTCGTAAGAAATTACTGAATTCTGAAGAAATTTCATAAAAACAAATTTTTGGACATGAAAATGTTCTTATGCAAATGTAACTTTATTGAAAATCTTAACAAATGTCTGCCAACAATTATAAACATAAAGAACTTCTTAAAATTCTTATGGATTGTACCATCTTTTCAAAAAATTGCCTTACTGCTCTGTAACGTCTATTGCAAGTATATTAGATGTCAAGAATGCCATTACTTGGCAGGGAAACTGAACTTGCTTTCATTGGTTTTATTCATGTTGCAAACACCTTTAAATATTACTGTAGTTTCAAACCTGTCACAGTACAAAGACAGACTGATACACTGATCAGACTGAATCTCCCAGCCATAAACACTTTAAAAGAATCTTAAATTATGCCTTAAGTCAGAAAGTTATTATGAAAAATCACAGTTCTCTATCTCTTCGTCCCCTTCTCCCAGTTTATTTGTTGTGCAAATATGCTGTTTAATAAATGTTGACACTCAGAGACTAAATTAATTCAAAACTTGCTTACCATAGTCTTAGAATCATGCTTCAAAAAAACCTGCATTCAGTAACTTCAATTGCCTTTCCATTAGATTAAAATATTTATCTGATATTGCAGAGCAATGAAAGCATATACTGTAATTAGTCTTTAAAATGAATTGTATAGCTTGGGTAAACAATTATAGATGTAAAAATGATTCTGCTTTATATTATTGTTTTCTTGCCCTATATTAATCCCAAATTGTCCAATTTGAAGCTAGCAAGAAACCCCATCTTAATGCAAATCAGATTACTGATATAATTCTTGACTGGTAGAACATTTGTACTAGATACTCAAGGGTGGTTTCTTGGCGTCCCAACAACCACTGAAACCCAATCCAAGCTTTCTAAATATGGTAGTCCCAAATCTGTTTGGATACACTAAATACAAAATCTCACCTAGATAATCTTGTCAATTTATGCTTACTTGCGATACCATAAGAGCTCTTTTGCTGTGGTACCCTCTGATGCAACCCTAGCATGCATATGCACCAGACTCAGGTCAAGAAGGCAGAGCCTGGTCTCTTGATCAAATCACAGTTAGCACTCTGCCCCCTCTTCCTTCACTCTTTATCATATTCCTAGGTCATGTAGTTCAGCACTGTGGGTGAATATAATCTACCTGGTTAAGGAAGAATTTTGCCAGAAAGATGTGAGAGTTTAAAAAAAATGTCACTCCCTCTTGCAGATGCCCACACTCAACAGCATTCGTCCTGGTGCTTTCCACAACATTAAACTTTTACTCCATTAATCCCAGGAGCTTGGGCATTGATCCTGCAGGTTTAGAGTAATTTGAATTGTACTCTAAGACAGGTAGAAAGTGCCACATGGGTGATGGCTTCTGTATATTCCCTTTATTCTGTTTAAAACAAAATTAAGGCAGCAGGAACCTTCTATTCAGATGAAATATACATATGATTGATTAACTGATTACATGCCATTAAGCCAGTATCATCTCTTAGCCAACATGTAGATAGATTTTCTCCAGGATGATCTGTTCCCAACATGGTCTTTCAGATCTAACAACACACCCATCCATTCATTGTTGCTGGTCATTGTCTTTTTTTTTTTAATCCATCTATCTTTCCCAACATTATGGATTTCTCAAGAAAGCTACAGTAGATTTTCACACAATGCAACCAAAATATGAAAGTTTGAGCCTAGCCATTTGTGGCTCAAGTGGGAACTTTGAACTGATTTGTTCTAGTATCCATTTATTTATTTTCTTGGCTACCCATGGTATTCTCATGAGTCTTCTCCAACACCAACATTTAAAAGCATCTATATTCTTTCTATCCTGCTTCTTCGAAGTCCAATAAGTGTGCGTGTGTGGGGGAGTGGGGGGGGGGAGAGAGAGAATGAATGAATGAATGAATGAATGAATGAATGAATGAATGAATTCTAGGGCAGTTGGTTTACTACAAAGAATGGTCTCTTTGTACATCTTGCAGCAGTTCTAAATTGGGTAATACATGCAAGCAGTGGATCTCTTCCATTTGCTCCCAGCAAATGTTAAGTCATATGCAAACATGTGAGCATAAAGCTAAACCAATAATTGGTTGCATCTTCCTGTGACCCTGCCCTATTCTTCTCAAATGAGAGCTTCTGAGGTGGACACTGTCTCCATTCTGAACTTTTAAGCTTAATAATGAAGTTGTATGCTTGCCAACCTTAATATCTTCAGCAACTAAGGGAACCCAGGTTACTTAAAGGTCATCCTCTGCTGATGACATCATTTGATAAATTCTGAGGCCTGTTTCTTCTGCATCTGTCACCTAAATCAGAGTGGACAGGCAGAACTCTGCAGATCTGCTGAAGGCAACAAGAGAATGGAATGGACAGAAGCAACCTGTTCTATCTCCAGAAAAGGCAACCTGATTACTGACCAGGCAAGAACATAAGCTAATGATCTATGACATACAATTAGCAATTTCCCAGTAAATTGTGATAAAAATCTGGAAAGATGCATCCAGTGGCAATCTTGCAACAGTCTTTCAACATTGACAGGCTGCCTAACGTTCCTACTTCTGATGCACTGCCAAGTTACTTTTCACCTGGCTGAATGATTCGAGAATAAATGTGCAGCAATGAGTCAGAACAGCAACTAAAATGTAAGATGCCTCAATAAAGAAGTTGCTTGAATAGAAAGCAGATAGAGAATAAATTTACAATAGTACATATTATTTTATCCTTGACCCCTACATGGCAATTCCTGTTCAGGCCATTTGCCAAGCTTAATCTGAGATGGTTCCTTGACAGAAGATACATTCAGTAAAACCTGCCATACTGGGCAAGACAATATTGAAAAATGCCCCTGAGATCATGGGCATCCACAGGAGGGGTGGGGCAAGGAGCTAAGTGACAAAGTGTGCATTGTGATGTCATGATGTGCCCCTTACATATT